AAAAAAAAAAAAAAAAAAAACAAGGAGCCACCAGGTGCAGGGTGGTTAAGGTGTTGGACTCCCAATATGGCTGACTAAAGTTCAAGTCCTGGACCTGGTGGCTTGCTTTCTTACTTTCCTCTGTCTCTCTCTGCTCAAATTTAAAAAATAATAATAATAAACTAAATAAAATAATTCTTAAAAAAAAAAAAGGAAAAGGAAACAAAGTCTAAATAAGAGAGGGAACCTTTTGATGTAGAAGGAAATTATGATTTTCTTGCAACTTCTGGGAGGTCTTCTGGAGAGTGTCAGCTTCCTTCAGGTGGTATGCCAGAGCTTTCTGGAGATAAACATTCTCTTTAAAAACATTTCTTCCAGCAACATTCAATTGCCTGAAATAGAGGTATAAGATCCCCAAACAAGGTCCAAGTTGCAGATATTGCCACAGTAGCACAATGATATGTTTATCATCCCCTAACATTAGTAACAATGGCTACAACTCATTTAGGTGATGGTGAGTACTTACACAGGGGTTAGGTGTGGATCTTGTGATTAAATTCATACCGAATAGGACAGAGAAGAGTTTTGTGTAACTTCCAATCCAAGGCAGTCGAGAGCAGGTATGAGTTTCCCACGCTCCTTCCTGTCCAGCAGACTGGATATGAAGAATTTTAACATGACAGAGGTACATATGAGATGAAGCAGCCCTGATAGCTGGATCACCATTGGAGAAGAGCTGCCAGATTCATGTTGGATTGTTACACAGGCAAGAAAGAACCCATTTAGACCATTCAGTTCACGCATTAACACAAGGCATTTGATGTTACTTCTATTAATATACCTTGTGATAACAATGTAAGGTGTTTTGTTTTGTTTTGTTTTGTTTTGCCATAGGACATGTGTGCTTGCTGGAAAGAAAGACAGAGATAGAGAGAGAGAGAGTGAAAAAAATCTCCAACCCACCCCCCTAAAGGGGGTGGCTACACTGCAATTCCTTCTCCATTCTTCAGGATTTTTGGTACCTGGTGTGTTTTTCAAGCTACTGGAATCAAACCGCAGTCAGCCATGTGGGAGCCAGCATGTTATCCACCATGCCACCTCCTGGCCCATCATGCAAGGTTGTTTTTATTACCCATATATTTAGATTTTAAAAAATTCAGAAAGTTAAATCTTTCTACGGGGATCAACAGGTGGCATGGTGGTTAAGGTGCTAGACTCCCACATGGCCAATTGTGGTTTGAGTCCTAGAACTGGCAGCTTGAAAATCATGTGGGGCATATGTGCATACATGCCCAGAATCCTGGGAAGAGAATGGAGAAGAGAGGATTGCAGCATGGCCATCCTCTCTGGGGAATTATTCCTCACTCTCCCTTTCACTGTCTCTCCCTTTCTCTCTCCAGTGAGCACACAAGCCCTATGGCAAAAACCTTAAAGAAGAAAGGGGGGGCAGCAAGTGGTGTGGTGGTTAAGGCACTGGACTCCCACATGGTTGACTGTGGTTCGAGTCCTGGACCTGGTGGCTTGCTTTCTTACTTTACCTTTCTCTCTCTCTGGTTGAAATAAAAAATAATAAAATTAAATAAAAATAATTCTTAAAAAAAAAGAGAAATAGTTCTACAATCAGTTAGACACATTGAGAACCAAAGTCTAAATGAATACCTTCATAGGCTAGATTCTTTCTACCATACTATACTGCTACAAAAAGTATACAGGGACACAAAGAAAAAGTAGTAGTGAGGAAATCTCAACAAGATGGAGAAGGGAGAAGGGATTGTAGCATAACATCTCCCACTGGTAGATGTGTTCTTCCTGATTCCCACTGTTTCCCTCTGATGTGCACTCTCTGGCAATTAAAAAAAAGAAAAGAAATAGTGAATGGGCTAGGCCCATAGGCTAGTGGTTAAGGGAGGTGGATCCACATGGCTTACTTCTGGTGGTTCGAATCCTGGCTCTGGTGGCTTGAAAAACATGCTGGATATACATGCATGCCCAAAATCCCAATGAGATAGAGAAATGGAGAAGAGGTTATGGCATGACCACACCCCAGTAGGAGGTGCTTTCTTATTCTCTCTGTCTCTTCCTACCTGGCAAACATTTGTGTCCTCTAGCAATTTAAAAACAAAATAAAGTCATTATCTCATTGATCTTTAAAAACAAAACAAAACAAAAAGAATAAAGAAGGGGCCGGCAGGTGGCGTGGTGGTTAAGGGCACTGGACTCCCACATGGCTGACCACAGTTCAAGTCCTAGATCTGAAGGCTTGCTTGCTGTGTCTCCCCCTGCCCCCCAGCCCCTCTCTGGTCAAATTAAAATAAATAAATGAAGTTAAATAAAGTAATTCTTTAAAAAAATAAATAAATAAACTTAAAAAAAAGAATAAAGAAAATAAATAGAGTATATTGGAAAATCTGAAGAGCAGAAGCCAGGAGAGGAAGAGGGGAAAGACAAGAAAGTAGAAAGAAAATAGATCAGCAAAGAGGTAAGAGGGGCAATGGAAAGAAAAAGGATGCAGCAGTCTTACGCAATGGCTTCATGGTGGGCTCTATCTGCCAGCATAATTATCTTCTTTTCAGCTTCTTTTTCCAGTCGATGCTAAAATAGAAAATAGGCTATTGAAATATGGAGTTACGTTTCTTTATTCTTTTCTTTCTTCTTCTTTTTTTAAGTTCGCTATAGGGTGCATGCACCTACGAGGAAAAGGGGGTGAGAAAGCACCCCTGGGGGGATGGTCACAACACAATTCAATTACTTCTCCTCCATTCTTCTCTTGGGATTTTGACACACACACACACACACACACACGCATGCACCTGGCATGTTTTTCAAGCTGCTGGGTCCAGGATTTGAACTGTGCAGTTGGCCATGTGGAATCCAGCCACCTTAAACACCATGCTACTGGTTGGTCCAGAGTTATATTTCTTTCTTTCCTTCTTTCTTTTTAATTATTTCATTTAATTTATATTTTTTAAAGATTTTATTTTTTGAGAAATTTTTGATAGAAAGCAAGAAATCACCCTCCACAGGGGATGGCCACTCCGTAATTCTCTCTCCCTCATTCTTCTCCTGGGATCCTGGGCACACATGCACATGGGCCTAGCATGAGTTTTAAGCCTACAGGTCTGTGACTTGAACTGTGGTCAGCCATGTGGGAGTCCAGCGCCCTTGACTATCATGCCCTCCAAAGTTATATTTCTAACAACAAATTTTACACATCAGGGCCAGCAGGTGGTATAGTGGTTAAATATCCCTGACTCACTCCTCATGAACTTCATTTGTTTTTGTCAAAGGATTCACACACTCACTAGAGACAGAGAGAGATAGAGAGGGAGAAAGTACATCCCAGTGGGGTGTGGTCATGCCACAATCCCTTCTCATTTCTCTAGCCTGTTGGGATTTTGGGTATGCACAAATAAACCCATTGTTTTTCTCAAGCCACTGGGGCAAGGTTTTAAATCATACAGCCATTAGGGTTTTGACTGCCTTAACCACTAGGCCATGGAGCTGGCCTGAAACATTGAATAACTCTTTTGTTATTTATTTTATTCATGAACGTGTGTGTGCATGCATGGGATGGGAAAGAGAGAGAGAAAGAGAAGCACCCTTTGCAAGGTCTTGTCATGTTGCAATCCCCTTTCTCCTGCCCTCCTGCTTGTCAGATCTTGGGCGCCTGCATGTGCATAGCATGTTTTCAGGCCAACCTGGTGATCTGAACCTGCAGTCAGCCATGCACTCTAGCACTGCTGTTCAGTTTGCTACCAACTACACCATTAGGCAGGAGTCTAAGGGACATTTTTGAGACCCTTATTAACATCCTTAGCTCAGCCTGACTAAGGACAGCCATCTCCATACACATACTAATGGTTTCTCCAATCTCATCTCTATATGTAATGGGGTACATAGAATTTCAGTCCCACCAAGGGAATCCCAAACTGAGGGAGACCTATTCTGATGTCTCAGAAGATGATAATCCCTCTTGACTTTCAAGAATTTCTGAATGAGAGGGGGAAAAATAAATAGACATTGAAATTTTTAGAATAGTTCTTGTTCTCATTGATTTTGATTCTGCTATGATTTGCTAACAACCTTCTAATCTTACAAGTTATAAAACAGAAGGTCAATATCTCACAGAATTCATATAAACACACACGTCACTCTAGAAATTAAAGCATTTTTTTAGAAATAAGGCATTTAACTCTAATATTCAGTACCTTTTCTTCAAAAAACCTGCTTTCCAATCTTCTAAGAGTTTCCTGATGTTTCCGCTCAGTGTTCCTTAAATTCTCCTTCAGCTATTAAAACAACCACCACCAAAAAAAAGGTCAATAGGAAATGGGGTTGACTGGGGTATATTCCTAGAAAATTCTCAATAAAGAAATACTTTCAGATATATTTTTATTTATTCATTCATTCATTTCATTTAATTCATTCATTCTGAGTACACAGAAAAATCTGGTGTCCCTGCCTTTAAGTACCATATTTCCTTTGATCTTTTACAGATTTACAAGATTAGCACTGAGTTTGTTTTTTGTTTTTTTCTTTATTAGACATTTTTGCTATAGGGCATGTGTGCTTGATGGAGAGAGACAGAGACAGAGTGAAAAGGAAAGGGAGAAATCACTTCCCAATATTGAGGTTTTGTTGTTGTTGTTAGTTTGTTCTCTTTTATTTATTTATTATATTTTTTTAATACATTCAATCACCTTATTTAGCTTACAAAGTGAACATTTCAATATGTGAACATTTCTCCCTAGTCCAGTTGATTAAACTGTAAAATATCTGCAACAGGTAATACCACATTTCCTTGTCCCATTAATGCTTTGCCTCCGTATTGATCTTCTAAATGTTCCAGGCTCTACTCTTCCACACACACTATATCTGGTATATACACCTATTTATTGTGTTTGTATATCCTTTAGTCAATCAGTTTTAGTCATAGAGTGCGGACACTCAGTATATATTAAGTGGGGACATAGAATGTCTCTCCTTCATAGCCTGGTTTGCTTCACTCAGCAGTAAATCTTCCATATTTATCTACTTTCTGTCAAAAGCCAGGGTTTTGTTGCCTTTTTATGGCTGAATAGTATTCCATAGAGTATATGTGCCACAGTTTTTCAATCCATTCATCTGTTCGGGGGCATTTGGGTTGGTTCCATGTCTTAGCAATTGTGAATAGTGTCACAATAAACATCGATGTGCAAGCATTTTTCCGATGAAGAATTCTTCTGTTCTTTGGGTAGATACCAAAGAGTGGGATTTAGTGCTATTTGTAGATTTTTTTTTTTTTTTTTTGGAGAGGTTTTTGCTATAGGGTGCGTGTGCTTGCCAGAAAGACAGACAGACAGAGAGAAAGCGAGAAATCACCCCCCAGGGGGATGGCCACATGGCAATCCCTTCTCCTCCGTTCTCCTCTCGGGATCCTGGGGATGCATGCACACATACCTGGCGCGAGTTTAAGCCATTGGGTCCAGGACTCGAACCATGGCTGACTACATGGGAGTCCAGCGACATAGCCATTATGCTAACTGCTGGTTCCCATTTGTAGATTTTTGAGGAATCTCCAAATTGTTCTCCATAGTGGCTGACTAATTTACATTCCCACCAGCAGTGTAAAAGGGTTCCCACTGGGGAAACTCTGGGAGACATTGGGGTAGAGAAAGGCTTCTTAAATAAGACCCCCAAAGCACAGTCGATAATCCCCAAAATAGACAAGTGGGATTATATCAGACTAAGAAGTTTCTGCATGGCAAAAGACACAGTAATTAGTGTGAATCGGCAGCCCTAAGAATGGGAAAATATTTTTGTAAATTATGTATCAGATAAGGGACTGATAACGAAAATACACAAGGAACTCAAGCAGTTGTTTGTAAAAAAGATGATCAACCCTATTAAAACATGGGAGAATGAGTTGGAAAAACACTCCCTAAAGGTGATATACAAATAGCCAAAAGGCATATGAAAAATGCTCAACATCCCTCATCATAAGGGAAATACAGATCAAAACAACAATGAGATACCACCTAACCCTAGTCAGAATGTCTAAGATTTAAAAAACCAATATTGAGTTTTTAAAAGGCCTTTTAAGGGGCCAGCAGGTGGCATGGTGGCTGAGATGTAAGATACCCACTTAGTCAACTGCAGTTTGAGTCTTCAATCTGGTGGCTTAAAAATAACAACAAACAGAGGCCAGCAGATGGCATGGTAATTAAGGCGCTGGATTTAGACATGGTCAACTGAGGTTCATGTCCTGGACCTGGCAGCTTGAAAATCATGCTGGATGTGTGTGTGTGCATATACCTAAAATCCCAGGAGGAGAATGGAGAAAAAGGGACTGCACTGTGGCCATCCCCTCAGTGGTGCTTTCTCATTGTCTCTCTCACTGTCTCTGTTTCTCTCCAGTAAGCGCACATGCCCTATAGCAAAAAATTAAAAAGAAAGAAAGAAAATAACAACAAATAAGTAGATAAAGAAATAAACAAGTAGATCTTTAAAAAGTTATTCTTGGCAACCAGCAGATGGCATAACGGTTGTTACTAGACTCTCACATAGTAGACCATGGTTCAAGTCCTGGATGCTGTAGCTTTAAAACTCATGCCGGGTAGGTGTGCATGTGTGCCCAAGATTCCAAGAAGAGAATGGAAAAGAGATTGTGAAGTGGCCATCCCCACTGGGGAGTGATTTCTTGCTTTCTGTCTCTCTGTATTTGTCTCTCCGACAAGTGCACGTGCCCTGTAGCAAAAATTTATCTAAATGAAAAAACAAAAATTATTTTGGGGGACCAGCAGGTGGAGTGATGGTTAAGGTGCTGGACTCTCACATTTCCAGTCATGGTTCGAGTCCCAGACCTAGTGGCCTACTTTCTCACTTACTCTCTCTCTCTCGTTTTTAAATTTGACAATTTTTACTTCACAGTAACCTAATATTATTTATAAATGTGGCCTACCAGTTGAAAAAGAAGTGATGTTGGAGTAACTGTTAACCAGATCATGTCATAGTCTTCATAGCCACTGATAGCAGAAGACTTTAAAACGGCAGACTCGCTTTACATTGTTTTGACATAATGCAGCTGCAAGTTGCTAGGTTACCACCAAGATATACACAAAGCAGAATAAACAAATAATATTAAAAGTTTATGTAGATAGGAGGTTTATATTTTATTTCTCCAGCGGCATATTTACAGTTGAATAATAAATTAAAGGCCGGCTTGCACACCAAAGCCAGGTCCTTTGCTGGAGAGAAACTAACTGCTAACTCTCTCCAGTGACAGAGACAGAGAGACAGGAAGTGAGAGATCATCCCCCAGGGGGATGGCCATGTTACAGGATTTGGGTTACACATATGCTAGGTTTGGGACTTGAACCACAGTCCACTATGTGGGAGTCCAGTGCCTTAGCCACTGTGCTACCTGCTGGTCCCCAAATTTTCATAGTTTAGAAAAGAAAGATGAGCTAATTTAAAGTGATAATCCTACAGACTATATTTACTGACAAGAATGAATAATATTGAAAACAGCCAACTAGTTCTAACATTCTAGCAACTAAAAAGGCAGTAGAGAAGGGTTTTCCATCAGAGGGACCAAAGCCAAGTGCTGTTTCTCTCACCAGCTGTTTCACCCTGGGCAAGTCAGTGAACTTTTCTACATCTCAGGCCTACAGGTATAACGAGAGGACAGTAACAGTACCTATCCCACATAGGTGTGCTAATTATTAAACAGCAATTAAAGCATGTATTTAGGGGATCAGCAGGTGGCATGGTGGTTAAGGTGCTGCACATTCCCACATGGCCAACCACGGCCTTGCTTTCTCACTTTTTTTCTCTCTCTCTATCTCTCTCTCTCTCTGGTAAAATTAAAATAAATGAATGAATAAATAAATAAAATAAATAATTATTTAAGAACCATGTATTTAGTAACTACTTAATATATAGCTTATTATCATATCTAATATTGTCCTCCCATACAATAATTACTCTTCCTTACTGTAACCTCTGCTCTAACTGTAATAAATCTCCATTGTTCTATGACCTCTTTCAGATGTTCTTATTTCTCCCTGAATTACATTTTTTAATTTGTCAGAGGACAGGTATAGGTGCTAGAGACAGAGGAAGAGGGAGAAGGAGAAAGCACCTCCCAATGGGGTGTGGTCACACTGTAATACTGTCTCCATTTCTCTATCCTGTCAGGATATGGACCATACACAAACATGCACCCAGTATATTTTTTAAGCCACCAGGACTGAGATTTGAATCCCAGTGGGGTATGTGGAATCCTTCTCCCTTAGCCACTAGGCCACAAAGACCAGCCCCTAATATTTTAAAGTATGCTTCTACACAGCAGAGAAAAAAAACTCTATACCAGGCCAGCCAATGGTGGGTTGCATAGTTCAAATAAAGTGCAGGATCACACATGGTAGACTGCATACTTCAAGTCCCAGACCCAGAGGCTTGAAAAACAAGCTGGGCATGTGTGCATGCATGCCCAAAACCCTGTGAGAAGAATGGAAGAGAAGGACTGTGGTGTGGCCATCCCCCCTGGGGTGCTGCTTTCTCACTTTCTTTCTGACAGCAAGCATGAGTTCTATAGCAAAATTTAAAAGTCTAGGGGCCAGAAGGTGGCGTGGTGGTTAAAGGCGCCAGATTCCCATATGGCCGATCACGACTGGAGTCCCAGCCCTGGCAGCCTGCTTTCTAGCTTTCCCTTTCTCTTTTTCGTCTCTCTCTGGTCAAATTAAGAAATAATAATAACAAATGAAATTAAATAATTCTTAAGAAAAAGTCTATACATCAAAATATTAACAAAGATTATCTGTAGGTAGTATAATTGTTGAGGACATGGTATTTTTCTTTTTCTTTTTTGGAGAGGTTTTTGCTATAGGGCACATGCACTCGCCAGAAAAAGAGAGAGACAGAGAGACAGAAAGCGAGAAATCACCCCCCTAGGGGGATGCCCATGCCGTAATCCCTTCGCTTCCATTCTCCTCTCAGGATCTTTTTTTCGGAGAGGTTTTTGCTATAGGGCGCATGTGCTCGCCAGACAGACAGAGAGAGCCAGAGAGATAGAAAGCGAGAAATCACCCCCCACAGGGGATGGCCACGTCGCAATCCCTTCTCCTCCATTCTCCTCTCGGAATCTTGGGCACGCACGCACACGCACCCGGCGTGAGTTTAAGCCACCGGGTCCGGGACTCAAACCATGGTCGACTACGTGGGAGTCCAGCGACACAGCCATTACGCCAACTGCTGGTCCCCATTCTCCTCTCAGGATCTTGGGCACGCATGTACACGCGCCCGGTGTGAGTTTAAGCCACCAGATCCGGGACTTGAATCGCGGTCGACTACATGGGAGTTCAGCAACATAGCCATTACGCTAACTGTTGGTCCCCGGTATTTTTATTTTCTTACTCTTTAAAAAGTTTGCTTATTTAATTATTTCATGAGAGAACAACAGAAACAGAAAAAAAAGGGGAGTCACTTCCATGAAGGTTTTCATCCAGCCTATCTCAGTCAGCCCACACCCTGGGCACATGCAGGCACCCAGTGTGGCTTGTCCATGGAGTTCCCGGGACATAAACCCAGCACCTTTCTATGTGAGTCCCGTTTTGTTATCACTGTCCTACCATCTGGCCCTCATCATTTTCTTTTTTATCGCCTAAGCTAAGTTTACTGAAATTAGTATAATCACTTTGCCAAGTGAAGAAAGATTAAAACAAACTATTAATATTAAAAAATAACAAGGCTGGCCCTGCAGTGTAGAAGTTAAGTGCCATGCACTGGATGTGGATCCCACATTGCCACCATAGTTTGAATCCTGGTCTTGGTGGTCAAAACATAGTGGGTGCAACTGTATATATGTCTCAAATCCTGGTGGAAAGAGGAACTGAAAGAAAGAGGATTGTAGTATGACCATACCCATTAGGGAGGGGTTCTCTCTCTCTCCCACTCTACCCCTTTCTCTCTGCCCCTGGCAAGCACACATACCCACAGGCAATTAAAAATATATGTGTGTGTGTATACTCACATACACACACACACATATATGTATATATACACACACATATATTCTTATATGTACATAAAGGCCTGCCCGTGGCCTGTGGTCATGTGAACCACATGGCCAACTGCGTGGTTCAAGTCCTGGAGCCAGCAGCTTAAGAAACATGTCAGGCAATGAAGAGAAGGGATTGCAACCTGACCACGCCCCATGGGGATGCTTTCTCATTTTCTCTCCTTCTCTCTCTTTCACTCTCTGGAGAGTGCACATGCCTTCTGGAAAACTGAAAACAAACAAACAAACAAACAAAAATAAATTGTCTGCAACCTACCAATGTGCGCTTCTTCTGTTAGTGTGGCAGATAGAAATAACCTTTTCTTTAAAATACATGCCTTGGGCATCAGCAGATGGCATGGTGGTTAAGGTGCTGGGTTCCCACATAGCCAACTGCAGTACAAATCCCAGACCTGGTAGCTTCAAAATCACAACAAATAGGGAAAAAGTAGTTAGTGTAATGGTTATGTCGCTAGACTCCCACGTAGTCGACCGCGGTTCGTGTCCTGGACTGGGTGGCTTAAAACTCATGCTGGGCGCATGTGCGTGCGTGCCCAAGATCCTGAGAGGAGAATGGAGGAGAAGGGATTGCGGTGTGACCATCCCCCCTGGGGGGTGATTTCTCGCTTTCTGTCTCTATGTCTCTCTCTGTCTGTCTGGCGAGCACATGCTCCCTATAGCGAAAAACCTCTCCAAAAAATCACAATAAATAAATAAATGAGTAAGTCTTTAAAAAATACATATATTAAAACAAAATGTGTGCCTTGGGATAGCAGATAGCATAACAGTTGTGTCATTGGACTCCCACATGGCCAACGCAGTTCACCAGAGGCTTAAAACTCATGCCAGGCAGGGAACCAGCAGTTAGTGTAACGGTTATGTCACTGGACTCCCACGTAGTCGACCGCGGTTCGCGTCCCGGACCCGGTGGCTTAAAACTCACGCCGGGCACGTGTGCGTGTGTGCCCAAGATCCCGAGAGGAGAATGGAGGAGAAGAGATTGCGGCGTGACCATCCCCCCTGGGGGGTGATTTCTCGCTTTCTGTCTCTATGTCTCTCTCTCTGTCTGTCTGGCGAGCGCACGC